AGCCAAACTCGATCGAGGCGGCCACAAACGCGCCCGTTGTCTTGTTACAGATCCTGTTTTACATCCTTATATCACGCTGTCGATGCCGATGATAATGATAATTATCAGCCGAACGCGATTGATCTTAATACGATTTTAAAGAGTCGTTCAACATTCCGATCAGTATTTAGTCTACATAAAAGCGTAAAAATAAAATTAATCTTCAACACGGGTTTTTCCTAATGAAAATGTTTAATTTTTTCAATTTGCTGCGCACGATGTTCACATCAAAACCGAAGAAAAACGTGAAAACATCAATTGAAACAATTACATAAATTAATAACGTGTACAACGATGAAAAATTACACATTGCATACAGCTTGAGTGGTTTTAGTTACTTTGCTTAGAGCTTAGAAGACGGAATGCACGCCGCAGAAATAAATTATTATCCATCCGCATCCACATTCCAAAGATAGCGGCAAAACGCAGAAAAATCGCAACAATAAATCACGCAAGCTCTTATTTTCAAGGGTAAATTATTATTAATAGCTAACAATCCAAACATCCTTCGCGCATCCTTACATCTTCACACAAATTTATATCCTTCATACTATACTATAATAAATAAATAAATAATAAAAATCATTAAAAAATACGAGCTACATATATATTGATTGACTGTCCATCAAAAGTGATATATTAAAATTTAATTCGAACGAAAAAAATGTTAACACTTTTTTTAATCGTTGAATTAAATATAATTTTGTTAATGCATGTTACACTATCAAACCTAATGCATGAATGTATCAGGAACCGGAAGAAATGCCTTACTACTAGTTCTACAACTACGAACATTATCGGTTTGCATTAATGATCGTATAATCAACATCAGTTCTAAAATGCCTTACCATGAATAGACAAAATTAGACGTAGATTGTATTAAGAAATAAGTCAACAGGCAAATTATCGATATATTCGACATTAATAAAGTAATAAATAAGCAAATTAAATATGAAGTGATAATAGCAAAATAGAATGCAAAAAACACTGTAATTCGGCCTTCTGGGAATGTAAAAGTGATGAAATTAATACAATACTTGAATACAAGTTTGTCAAACACAAAATTTATTAGTTTCGCGTGTCAATAGATAACCGAATACTTCGAAAAGTACATGTATGTTTGTCTTTGACAATCAAATATTATTTAATGTACATCTATCAATATTTAACGCCAACATTCATAGGAATTAACTTCCTGAATTTAAGTAAATGTTAAATGTGGACATTTATTGTTAGCTAAAGAAGCATTCCGATCCTAATTGAATCATTTCACATAGTTCAAACTGTTTAATGTAACTGTTGTAATAAAATAGAAATATTTATTGAAAACAATGATAAAATAGATAAGCTTTATTTATAGCGTCATAAAAAATCGACACTTTTTTCCTAGTAGTTTGACATTGCTTCGGTAGAATAAAAAGTCGTGCAATCTAATCTCCATAACAAAGAGGTCTAAAAATAACCGGCTCAGAAAGCGAAAGAATTCGGAAGCGAATCTGGTCTTGCAAACAGTCGAAACAGAACGTTATTAGTGCGCGTTAAAAAATATTCGACAAAGGTCAAGTGATCAATCAAACGTCATTAATTTGGAACTGTTTTTTAAATTCAATATATGAGATCGAACAGGACACAGAAGTACGTAATAGATAAAAGTTAAAAAAAAGCAGTGTAATGAAAAAAAGTTAATACAGTATAGTGTCTTAAAAACATGACTCATTTTAACAACAAATTAGCCCTAAATAAATCGATATCTTCTGATTTTTTAAGTTGTGTTTCCTACATTTTTATTTTTAGGGAAATGCATTTAACTTAAGTTCGTTTTTTTTTCAATTTTTGGGGGTTACTCGTCACGTTATAAGAAAAACCCGTCACGATTAAACAAAACACCAGTAAATGCAGCGTAAGACTTGAATTCAAATTTAGACCAGAGTGATTGCTTCTAATATCAGCTTACAAAAGATTTTAACAAAAAGTTTGAGGTACTTCAATTGTTTTAACATCAAATCAAAAAATTTTATCAACCGTATCAAGCGTGAACTGTACTGAAACCTTAAAAAATAATAAATTCGGGCATTCAAAAATGTAACCTTTTCCTATCAAAAGATATGCGAAGAAAATTTCCCATACCGATCAACCGTTGATCCAACACAATTCACGATTGAAACCTCTACAGAAACAACTTTGCGCATATACCAACACAATCATAAATGAGTGTGTAGATATAATTGTGCTTAATAATTCACCTCGATTGACTCGTTATTAGCCGAGCGTGCGTGAGTGTACACTCGCGCGCGCGCCATTGATGAATTCGCGAACAAAACGAGCGATTGATCGATGAAGCGCGTTCGCGAGTCGCGCAATGAGCATTGTGTTAAACAAATCGGAAATTCCAAAAGCACACACACACTTACACACAAACACACGAACACAAATGCCATCGTAATTGTGGCATACAATTTCGTTTCACCAAGCCAATTGGCAATTCAATAGCAATACGGAAGTACAAGCATTCACGATAATCAATTTACATAAGTGCTCACTCAGGTAAGCAATAAAGAAGAAATTATATTATTGGTATAGGTAGTGAGTCCCTAATTAATTTATAGCAAACATAGTTAAGTATAAAGTTCATGCAGTGCTCGATGATGATTCTAAGTTCATATTTAACAGTCACAAACAATAAAGTTTCAAAACATTGCGTTTTTATTTTTAGTATCCGGTTATAAAATAGGAAAAATTTACGAGTTATTTTTATGCGACATGGAAAAACCTTTTTAATTTTCTTTGCTTTCGACACCATGAAACATGACTTATCCTCAACATAATTCCATGTTTCTCGAAAAACATAAAAATATAATACGTTAATTTCGGGAACGTCCATTCCGGTTGAGCTGTACTCGTACATAAACTAACACACACATTTTTCAAGTTGAAGATGACACTGTGACTCATCAAGCATTCCCATTAAAGCACATTATAAATATACAGTAATACAAATTCCCACTAACATTTAGCATGGAATTAAATAAACTTCAAAATTTAAAATTTGCTTATACTGTATACAATCACAAAACTACATTCAATGTCATCAACTTCAGACACAACAATATTAATTTTTAATAACTAACGTTCGATCCGATCAAAAAACTATTGGCAAATTTTGACATTCTGTAAACAAACATAAATGATGTTCGCCAATTAACTACTAACGGTTTTTCGGCGAACAACAGCTTGTAAACAATTTATTTGTTTTTTATTGTCAAGTTCAAACATTCAACAAGAACCTGGCGCCGCATTTATATTCCAAAGACATTTCTACGTTTTTTTTTACAAGAAATTTAACAATTCTTGTCGGTTTTTATGCGAAATTGTTGAAATGTTTTAAATTAAATTAATGACGAGAATGATTAATGTTTCTCGTCCGCATTTTACCCGGCTGGCAAGCCCTAACCTTAAACTTTGCGAATCAAAATTAAAAACCACAACAATTACGCATGAAAATTCATTAATTAATAACATCCGTCCGTTTCCGATTGCTTTCCTGTTCGTGCTAAACACCTGTCACGCCGATTTTTATCCTGATTTCAATTTTCATCGTGTGCGCAATGCGTGCATGCTAAGCTCATTTGCAAGATTTCAATTAAAACAGTCATAAATAACAAAGTAACAAGACTCTGCAATTAATCAAAAGTCCTTTAGTCTGACGGCATCTGAACTTCCTAACTGACAATATTACATGCATCGACGTGTATCGATCGTAAGCCGGGGCTTGCAATAATTCATACGCATGCAAATCGTGAGTTGCACTCGCGAAACGAATTTATGTCCCGCTGCGTCCTGTAATCCCAATCGATAAAAATGAATGTGCGCTATGACGCTATGCGAGCATGCAAGATATATCGAATCAAAGTCGTATCGCGTGTATGAATTCGCAAGAATTCAACTTTTCCGTATCGCGTATTGTTTGTCGTGTTATGCATAAAGACAATTTATTAAACCGTCCAAACATACAAGTCATACTATACATACTCGTGTATAAGACATCGAAGTCAATTTAGCGTGTCGTGTCGTATACAGCAATATTTAGTAGTTAGTATATTCAATCATGCACCGAATGGGGAATGCAGAATGTAAAATATCAGATGTAAAATGTAAAATGAGGAAGTGACTTTTCCGTTGTTCGTTAGAGTCCTTTTAAATCCTTTTACATCGTCACTACTCGCCTATTGGCAATCTCCGTGCAACCGTGGAGTTACAGTTTGCCTACGCAGATCACCGATTGTAGGTGCAACAATATCACTCGAACAGTCGTGTCGGTGAAGCACTTCAAGCTAGACAAGACAATTTGAATATGAATTGTAAATAACGATCGACAATTTAACATGCAGCTTGTATTTACTTTGTAAATTGCAAGTTGTGGGTGAATTTAAAGGTTTATCACAACTACAATTTACTATTCTCCAGTTTTATGGGAAATTCAAGACTGATAGATTTTATCTTAATTTAGAAAACCGCAGACTAATATTTGTACAATTAGTGAAATTAACAAATTTTTAATTATCTTGCTCGAACGACCCTTAAACAAGATATTTTTATCACTAACATAACAGGTACATAAAGATTACGTTCTTCATGTATTTAGTCTGCAAAGCAGTATTTTTGACAATTAATAAAAGTAATATTAAAATAAAAAATCAAACAGAAATTATAAACTTCAATAATTAATGCCCTTGCAGAACAATTTTCAATATTATCACAGAAAATATGCCTAAACACATATTACTACAATGTGTAACTTTGAATTTTCATGTTTCACCCACCAACAGGTTACTTCTTCGATGCGCATCGAAGTTGGCTCGCATTCGCCGCTCGCGGCACACGTTCACGTTCGCGGACACCGCGTGCGTCCGCATGGGTCTGGGTGTCTCGCGATTTACCTGCACATACCCACCGAAACTATTTAAACAAACGCGCGGTGGGATGCTGCGCACAGTATCCGCGTAGAGTCCGGAGAGAGTGGTGTGTTCGGTCGGGTGCTTCGATTACGATTTGGATTTGGTGCGGTGGTGGCTGGGTGTTTTATAGAATTTCGCGACGCGCAGACGAAATTAATTTAAAATACGCGCCTCCCGCAAACATGACGGAAAATAAGGGCTACATTCCAAATTCGAGCGTAAGTTAATCAAAAAATTATTCTACAACCGGAAATATTGCATTGGTTCATTGAAAATAAATTTCTATTTGTATGAAACGCAACCGACAATCTGACAAACAGCAAACAACAGTAAATATTAACAGCTGTGTGTGCATTATTGTAACAATCGGTTTGTTTAGTATAGTTTTTTTACATAAAATTCGCATTAAAGTTTCACTTGACTTTCGAGCCGTTACAAAATTAGTATAGGCAATCGTTAAGTATCCTCTAAATTTCGTAATTCATTAAATAATCTATTATATTAATAAATAATTAATTGAAATTATAAAGCATTTTCATATTATTTGAATGTATGTATCACGTTTTGCTACCAATCTAAAAACATTCAAAATTAATTAGAAACCAACAAATTAAAATTCCAATCATATGATACAAGACAACACATGATTGCTTGGCTGATACCTTGACCAATAAGTATCAATAATAAGAAAAAACTTCTTAAATATATTACTTAAATACCTTTGTAGGAGTATTGCATAATATAAATTAATTACCAAAAAACTTAACTACCTACTACCAGTGCTACGCAGAATTTTATGTAAATACCACTTTTTTAATTTCTGAATAATCATAATTGACTTTTTACTTAGTTTTTTTTTTTCATTCTATAAATATTTGAATACTGACAGCTCAGCTGGTATTTATTTTTGCTTTTTGCGGTACTAAATCTATTTTTTTATATATAAGTATGAGATATTTGTTATTCTGTCAAAGTACGTTTCGTTTCGAATAACTTTAATTTAACGACAATATAATAAAATCGGATTCTTTAGGACGATGGATAATTACGGCCTTGCAAGGTCAACGTCTATTCGCTTGGACGCGCTCGTCTAATTATCATATGTTCCAATGCTAATTCAAAGTAGAGTGCGCGTACACTCAGCGATTATCTCTTATCTCTAAAAATACCGCTTTAACGATCAAAATAATAATAGTAGAAATTATGCTCGTCATTATAAATTTTGTCGTAATAATTTAATTTCAATTTAACAAATTTTTCAAATGATTAACGAAAATATAATTGAAAGTACGCGACTATTTAATTTCGAAATTGCCCCACACATCATTTTTCCCATCGAAAACATTAAAAACGTCTAATTTAATTTAAACACGATTATTAAACGTAGTGTGCTCATTAGTCTCGTGAAATCACCAATGAGTGTGTTTTCAATGCGTTAAAAACGCAGAAGAAAGACCCGGTAAGGCCGAATTGCTCAATAGATTTTTGTTTTCGGTTGTTGTGAGTGTTTACGTTCCCAGTTTGGGAGCGACGCGTATCCTTGCCGCGTGCGGGCCTTTTGTCTTTCGCATGCTTCCACAGTTCCACACTTCTTCGCCAAGTACGAGGCATACTAGTTTTATACATACAATGAACACCCGCATAAACAAACTCAGGTTCAAATGTACGCGCACAGAGGACATATGAATGCGTTATGATGTGGCATACGTGCGTGGTTTTCTTCCAGTTTTATTATGTTGCGAGCCGCATTCGCAATCGCATTGAACTTCACCTTTGAAACGTGCAGCGTGTGCAGAGAGTGAGTCTTGCGAACCGTGCAAGACTAACAAACAACCTTCTTCTTGCGTTTCGCCAAAGAGTTGAAGAGGTTTATTTAACTGTGTTTCATGTAAACGCGGTTTGCATACATAAAATAGAATGTAATCGAAAAACAAACGACAAAGTATTACGAAAATATGATGAGAAAAGATATAAAATAAGATTTTCGTTTTTCTATCTAATAAAATGTTGGTTATTATTGTGAATTCGGTCAATTTTTATTCTTAATGATTATGGAACTGTCAGCGATCCTAAAATTAGCGAATCTTAAATTTTCAATTTTTAGACTTTGAATTCATTAGATCCATTCAAATAGCAGAATAACAGAAGCAACAGATAATTAAAAATCAAAAAGAACCGAAAATACAAAAAAAGAAACATTTCATGATCAAACTGTATGAATTCAGTAACTAATTAATTACTTAAATTTATTTATGATAGATAAAAATTAAATTTAAAAAAAAATTAAATTTTTTGATTTTTGCAAATTATATTAAAATTACGTAATTAAAAGCAAACCTATTGCAAGTATATCTATTTACTGAATTGTTGCGGATAACAAAATGTCATAATTGATATGATATTTAAAATCATGTTTAAACCTTTCAATAATGCTACCCACTGCTTTCGGAACAATCCAATTCGCACCAATTAAAAACTATGCCTATGCAAAAGTAAAAACAGTGCTATAAACAATCATAAACTTAGATATCGGTGAACGTTAATATCAATTTATGCAAATACATACACAGTATGCAGGCTATCAGCTGTTCGAATTGTACATACTTTTACTTTGTTTGCACATTGAAACAAGACTTGGAAACTCGCGATTATTCAGACACGTGACTTGTTGCTAGCGGAGCTCTAATTACTGCAATTATAGCAATTAGAACATTTGAATAACTTTCATCTCAGAATTTACATCTTATATCAAAGCTAATCGCATAATTAAAAACGATAATTCAACATCTAAATTGCGAATAAATGAAATTCATCAATAATTATGCACTCAAAGTTATATAACATCTTTAAACATTCATGTTATTCATAGTTTATAATACAAAATGATTCCGAATAGATCAATAGAAATTTTCAACTTGTTGTAATAATTTATTACAATGAGATGTCTGGGAGGACTAAAGAATTAGTAAAAATCGCGCATCAGTAACATGCAATTAATTAATTGCCCACAAAGTAGGTTAATTGTAACCTTTATGAATATTCATCCGTAGCATTCATTCAAAGCAGATTCCATGCTCGGAGATTCTACCGATTCCGTCGCGTAATACATGCACACAAATGAATAACGGACGTTTCACAAAATGCCATAAGAAGCGATCGCGTCGAGAGCGTGCAAATTAATAAATCGCGAATGATGTACATTAGTTTTCCATTTTTTTCGCTCGGATGACAAATTACGCCTTGAAACAACTACCCATTCTAATTGGCAATAGAAAAAACTTATTATAAGTTCCTAAACCTTTACAATCTAAGAAATAAAAAGAACTTGTTCTCTTAATTTGTTTTATTTTCAAGGTAAAGGTAGCTATGTTTAGGTATTTGTGATCGTCACACCTTAAAAAGGGAACTGAACCTATTAACTAGAGTTCAATCACGTCCAGTTTTTGCTTCCTTTCATAACTGCACGTTTTGCGTTAATAAAACCGATGATTAAATTTAAAATATCTTAAACAAACAAACCTGTAAACATAGTTTACCAATGGTATAATAACTAAAACACTTATTACCGGCATATGAAAGTAAAATCAAGAACGATTTCGAACAAAACAAAGCAAAAAAACTCACCGCTATGAGCACTTAATCGCCAATCGAAAAATCGTTAAACGCGGCGCATGCTCGTAAAATTGCAAATTTATGTTTATATCCATACCCAAGCAGTAGATATATATATCATCAGCACTCACCTGAAACAAAGAACATAAATTCGTTAAATAAATTTCAATATTTCAATTAAGTTACGGATTAAATTAATTTTTATAGGTTCAGCGCATCTATTTGACATTGAATTCAAATTTTATTATTTAAAAATTGATATTTGTTGCAATTCTAAACACGTTTATTGAAATATTTCAATTTCGCTATTTTTTGTGTTTGAATGAATGTTAAACAAATATTGAATATCGCCTGGGTGCGGAAGTCTCGATCGCCTTCGCAGGTATCGCATTACGTAATTAATCTATATGTAGTTGAAGTGGTCGCAAAGTAAACCGAACTGTCCTGCAAACAGTTGGTCAACTAAAAACAAACAACTAAATTCATGGTCGTCCGCAAACATTCACGATCACCATCAATTATATTTCGCTAAATTAAAAATTTGCATTTAATTAAAATTTTAATTGACAATATCTATTTAACACTTATCCAACGAAATTCTCAGTTAACTAATACATTTCCTTAAATAGCTTTGCAATAAAGATTAAGTAGCAACAAAAAAAAACAATCGCATCGTTTGTTCTCGGTTACTTTTTACAATATTCAAATTAAAACGAACAGAGTGTGTAAATTAACAAATTAGCCAACTACGTGCGGCTGATATTGACATAAAACAATGAAAGTGTTGATTGCAAGTGCTAAAATTCACAATTCATGGGTTCACGACCACCTGGCCAATTAAAATAAAAGACAAACGTTAAAAATGTAAATATCACACAACACGAAATAAGGGTATGAATATGAATATGCCAACTATGCGGTTATTTAAAATGTATGACGGTCATTGGCGTCAATTCTCATGTCACCTTTTGCAACATCAACCAAAAAAACCTTGATTACTATGCAAATAAATTCGTCTTTTCAACAATTTTAATTTTAATGCACTTGTAGCCATTTTTATCACTCGTGAATTTGTCCATAAAAATAAAATACACTCATCAGGTGTAAATAAACAACTACTATTGTAATTATAACAACTGAGATACAAAAAAAGAAAAAAAAAACACTTTGACCAAATTAGTAAATCATAACCTGTGCAAAAGATGTTTCAATGCTATTTTCAATGCTCTTCCTTCCTCAATTTCCTTGTAAAATTATCATCTTACACATTTCGCACAAATCGCCGTCGACGCACTTGTAAGTACATCTAATTGCTGGCGTTTGTTTACCGGGTGTGAATCTCGTTGTAAGTAAATGACATTTAAGTGATGTTGCGAATAATGGCGCAAATGGACAAAGCGCCGCGGACGCTTTAAAGAAAATAATTGCAAACAATTTGTAAATTACGCGCTGTACTTATCAGACACGACACGTGCGCGCGCGTTATGTGCAATAAATTTCGCAGCGCGCCTAATCAGACGACAAGGATTTCTGGTCGAATAAAATCGATTAAGATATACACGTGTGTTTATGGTTCATTATCACGTTATATTCCACAGTGGATAATAATTATACAGAGAATACTAACAAGACATAATCATAAAGTGGTTTCATATGGCAGGAAACAACAATGTCCGTTTCATTGTTGATAAGTTTCGGAAGCGCATTGTTCTCGAAAGTTTTAGAAGTTTTTGGGAACATCGTTACCTTGCGCAGTGACATTAACAACTCATGCTGTGCACTTAGCTAAATTAATTGAATGTGCAGAGAGTGTGATTGAAAACGTATTCAAATTCAGAGGCCAAAAATTACGAAATTTTAACTGACAACCTATTCAATAACATGGTTAGTTAATTGTTGCATTACTAGGTTTAATAACAACATCATTTATGTTGAAAATTGTTTAAATGCAAAAATAAGAAGAAATAATTAATACTTGGGGAAATTTTATATAAATTTCAATAATTAACTAGAATCTGAAGCAGAAAAGAACGTAATGATTATAAATTTTAATTACCAAAGACAATTTTCAAATTTTTGATAATTCAATGAATGAATAATTCTCGAAAAAAGAATGTCTGACAATACGAACGTTTAAAAAATGTTAAGGTCGAGTTTAAGGCCACACATGTGCGTTCTCGCTAAGAAATTGTGCAACACTTGATTCAACCACTCGACTTAATCAATACAGAATACGCAATTCAATTACTAGGCAACACACGCGTATTCCGTATTGACACAACAACAATAATTAGCGATATAAGTACCTACAAATAGTCATAGTGCACAATCTCATATTTACATTGACACATAATGTGCGCAGTCATTTGAAGTGTGATGAAAGTCCAAAGACTTTTAGTGTACTCGAATCCGCAAGAGAATGAATCGCGCAAGACTTGTCCCGGATACTCTGCAATACCGCGAAGTACTCTGTCAATGTCACAACTACGACACGCGCACGCCTCGTTGCGATAATCGATCAATTAATTCGCATTCAGTGTAAACGTAAATATTTTCCGTGATGCATATGAGTCGTCATTCATTCATAAACCAAAATTAATTTATGTTTTACATATATATATACAAACAATTAATATGGGAATTTGTTATATTGATTTAAATTCGTTATCTTTGATATAAAACTGATTGATATCCATGAAATGATTCAAAGATTCAAAATTGATAAAACAATGTTGTGTTAGTTACAACATTTATAACTCAAGAACGACTAAACAGATTTTGATGATCTATGATTTACTACATTCGTCCCCATCCCGAATAATTGAATAACTATTAAAATGTCGAAATTTTTGATTTGAAGAGTGTTAAAAAAAAGATGAAAATTAGAATAAAGATTTAAACATAATTATGTCTAAATAAATGAATCAGAGAGGGCGCTAAATTACGGATAACGGCTAATATTTAAAACACGTTGATAGAGCTAGGAAAAATTAAGTGGCACATTCAATTTTCACGCAATCTAAAAAATATTATTGTGTCTTTAAGCAGTCCTTCCCACACAACTCGTTTATTTCATTTAGCCAATTAGCAATATTGATGCGTGTCGGCGTAATATCTGAGGAATTTGATTTACGCAGACTATTTAAGAACGCATTATCCAGCGCAATTGAAGCCCAAGCATCCATCCAGTATGCGCTGGAGTTTCAAGGACCAAACCCAACTTGAATCGCACCGCTCGACATATACCCCGAGATATTTTGCGTCTTTTATCATCCACACAACAAAACAAAATGCGTACACAACTTAAATTAATGTGCGAGATAAATCTCACAGTACACACGTACGCACCGTTTCTTTATTTACGCGGTGCCTTCGGCATCACCTTTAATTTTTTAATTCACGAATTTATTCTCTTCAATATTTCAACATGAATTACGAGCGTAATGTGTTACGACTTCTATCAACACGTTCCACATGCAATTCGTGTGTGCACCAATGCGTAAAACTAAAAAAATAACTGAGATAGAACCGTGATCTTGTTCGTTTTGTTTTAAGTTTTTGTCTGTAGCCATGGAGTGTAATAATGTTTACCAATAAATTTTTAAAAAATCGACACGTGCAATGTCCACAACTCAACAAGTATCACGTAATCGAGGCAAATTAGCTTTGGCATTAGGCGCGTAATCAAAAGAAAGCCGTGGAAGTGCCATAACGATTGTAAAATTTCCTACACTTCATGTTGCAATGCGCAAAACAAATAAAATAACCAAATAACGGAAGAAAAGATTCTTACACGTGAAATTGGTTAAAACTACAAAATTAAAGACCCCAAATATACGCATTTCGTTGTTTAGAAAGCGTATTTTATTCAACACAAAACATATTTTAGAAATTATTTAAATTGAATAACACACCATTTTCATATTGGTATTGTCAATGTGTGTGTGCGCGTGTTCAGTGATAGGAACATAAATCAACACCAGCAATTCTTCATTTCTTCAATTTTGGCGTTGTTAATTTTACGCAATTTTGTCAAAATGCTATTTCGATAAAATAATACAAGTTATAATTTCTCGACGACACCTTTGGTGTCAGTGTTACATTGCCCACGATTCACTAAATACATAATCGTGTGATGTAACGGCGTAAAAATTTCCTGGTTGAATAAAATGCAAATGCGGTAGTCGGTTTGTTTGGTCAACTAAACAAACAAATAAATGCTCAAAGCGCATGTTTGTGATACACACCTGACTACCTTCAAGATCTTGCAAGAAGTAGGAAAAAATCAAGCGTGACAATAATATTTGCACATTTGATTAAAAAAATAAGTGCTTGAATAACAAACACGATTATATAATCTAGTTATTGATGAGTTTTCGAAATTTAAGTATTATATCTTAGAAACAAATATAATATAAAATTATAGATCAAAAATTGTTAATATTTCGTTGTTCAGATCAAATTGAACATTAACACTTGATTAAAAACTATTTCCAAATCCTATCAAAACAAAATTCATAATATTATATTAAACACATTTTAGGAAAACTTTTTATATCGAGTTTTTCATTTATATGCCGAAGAATTTTAAATATTCTCGCACTATATGTGAAAATGTAAAATGTAAAAATATTTATCTAAACTATTTCCAACATGAGCAAAACCTAAGAGAATTCAAAATGTTATAAATTGGCTTTACAGTTAAAATCATGTTTACTCAAATTGCTAAACTTTTAGCTCATACAATTTTAGACATTCCAATGTAATGAATCCAATCCCATTAGAAATAGTTCAGTCCACGGATAAAATTTTGACATTTCAATGCTAATTACCTCTAAAACTCAACACAATAAAAGTATTATAAATTTTGTGATTAATTTAATTAATAATAAAAAGATTATCATAATGCAATGCAATACAAAACTGTTCCGCGTACTCATAAAAATTATCCATACTTCATCCGTCAGATGAATGCTCGATGGCCATAAACAATCTCCGATAATAATCATCTTAAATTGAAATCAGCGCTCAAATATAGCAATAACACATCAATAATTTTATGCGGCTCATATTTTATGCGCTTTTTTAATTTTAATTGCGCTGAATACTGAAGGAACTGAATTTACCGCGTTCATTCGGAATACATAATAGCGTTTATTAATTATTAATCGCAAATAGCCACTTAGTTCGGTCGACATAGACCTTAAACTTTCGGTTTTGCGCGCGACTGCTGTTTTGTCTCGAATAAAGCCGATCATTATTTATTAATTGGACGAAATATCGTTATGATGTGAGGCATGTGCCATGAGACAAGCGACAAGCGTGATGCAAAAAGTGGAGGCGCAACTTTTTCATAAGGAAACACGAGCGATATGTAGAACATTCTCACATACAAAAGTCGAAAAACTTGAAAGCAAAAAATCTAGTCAATAAAAGACACTCGATGGCCACAACACGAAACAAATGTGTGTATCATGCATTATGAGCTAATGATATAATCACACAAAAAATAACAATAACGAATAAAATTAGTTCATGTAAATAGAAATATTTGGGTAGGTTGCAGGCGCGGCCTCAAAACTTTTTCAAATTTTTAACAACCTTGACTCTCGCATTAGTATAAATAATATTCAAATATTTATAAACAATAATACTGTTTATATTTATATAAATTAAATTAAATTTATACTCAACTATTGTTAGAAACAAAATTTTGTCATTGATTAACTAATTTGAATAATCCACGATTATTAAAAAGAACAATGTTTATTTCTTCTTCAGACTTCAGCAGATCTCATGCAGAGTTGGCATATACCACGACCCACACTAGCTCGCAGCTCTAACAGTTCGCAGGGCTCCACATCGGGCAGCACGAACAGTACACAGGTAATTTGTTACCAAATTGTAGTTAAATTAACAGCTGGAAGTAAATTATAAAATCCGGAAGGAAAATGCGCGTAATTACCCAACATGCGCATCAAAACCACTTAAAACTCGCTTAAAAACCGTCAACCACTCACAAAATTCCAAATTTACGCGCTTTACTCGTATACTAATCATTTACACGTCGCGCTATTTTTAATACAACAAAGGTGTCCTCAGCCACAAATTGATTTCACTTTGATTCATTACTGCGAGCGGTCGTCGTGCGGTTCAAGGCATCCGCGTCGTTTAAAAAATAAACAATTAACGCACGCGTCAATTTCCCCAGAATTACGCCTAAATTACCACGAAGAACTAATGAGTACGTGGTGTCACCAACAGTCGTCAATACGTACTCGTAACATTTAAACATAATAATTTAATCATGGATTCTCCTTTACACTTGCAGAGTGCAAGATCAGGATCATTATTGTTGACGGCAGCGAATCTCGCACACATCCACAAAGCAACGCAACAGTCGCCGGGCATGGCTGGGACTTCGCCCTCAACGCGCAACGAGAACATCAAATACTACCTGGAGAGTACCGGTAGTTTGGATGCCTCACGTGAAGCGGCTCTCAAGTTACCCACCGCCGATGAGTGCAAAAAAGTGGACGCTGATGCGGCCTCAATCGCCAGCTCCATGCACTTCACCGTCGTTAACGTCAACAGTCGGCCGCAGGTGCGGACGCGGAGCTTCTGCAAGAAGCATCAGCTCTCCGTTCTCGTTGTCACCATGTCAGCCATCTTTACTATAGGAATAATTACGGCCGTTTTTCTACTTGAAAGTAAGCACTATACATTTTATAATTTGCTTACAAAACTTATTTGAACTAATCTTATTTGTTTTTAGTGAGAGCGAAGAGAATGTCGTATTAGTGGCATTAGAAACCAATTAGTTACCAATGAGCTTAACCGGCTGCACTAATAAATTATTTAAAACAAATTTACTAAACGTCGAAGATTCGCCGTCGATGATGAAGATGATGCTGGATCAAATCGAACGCTGGACGTATTTAAACTGTATTTAATGTAGGCTTAGTCATGTTTTAGTTTCTAGTTGTATAATTAGTCAAAGTATTCGAAATTAATTAATATCGTGCGACCAAATTCTTATTTTACCACTGATGAGAAGCGATTCGAGCACGTTTTTATAAGCGCAAACGCCAATGTTCTTAATATTGTGTACTGTGATATTTGATGTTAGCAATAAGACTTTTTTGAAGATTTTTTGTAAACCAAATCCACATTTTGACTTTTCATGTGAGATTTTTAAAAATAAATTTTTAAAATGTATGTTCGATCAATTTCATTAACGCCATATTAGAGCAAGATGCTCAAATAAAAAGTTACCTATGAATTTAATTCATTTGCGAAGTTTTAACATATGCAACTTCTCACGCATCATTGCAAACATGGAAAATAAAGTTATCAAGGAAATAAAGCAACACAATACCTCAATATCCTGAAGAGTCTGTGTCCACTTGTATTTCTCCATATCAGCCCCATTCCCAGCATTAGGTTTCATCTTCCCCCTTTCAGATTCATCCTCATCATCATCAGGAACCTTCTGAGATACACTTGGGCTTGTTTCCATAGGTTCACCTGAGCTTGAACCTGCACCATCTGCTGGTCCTTTCTTTGCATCAATTTCTTTTTGTAATTGCTCAGCTTGGTCATCAGTCAACTCTACAATTTTAGCCTCATCAGATAAATTCACTGAAGCTGCAGCTGCTTTCTTAGCTGCTTGTGCCTTTTTCTTCTCCTCTTGCTTCTTTCTCTCCTGCAATTCTTGCTTTTTTCTATCAATGCATGTTTTTTCATGGTTTCTGAATGTTTGCATCACAAGCTATAATCAAATGTTTGTATTGATTTAACATGTTTTAGGAGCAAGAGCAACAAAGACATTACCTGTTCCCATTGCCCTTCACTGCCGCCGGTAAAAAAGTCTGTTTTTCTCGCTAGGAAACTCACAAATGTGTCGAGGAGCTATGAAGTAGTGATAAAATTTTAGCAAAAAACAGATTGGGACAGTTGAAGATTGTAATTTAAGGTTAGAAAATCATGTTTTTGTAATCTCACCTGCGAAGCGCCGTTGGGATGATGTTGAGCAATTGAGAGGAACAGAGAGTCAAAGTGATCGACTTTCTCAGCGTCCAGAGCCATTTCGGTGAAGGATTAAGGTATACTTATTGTAAAATTGCGGAATAAAAATGAAAATCGCCGACAAGACAACGGTTCACCAGACTCACGTTTGCGTATGAGTCAGTTCAAACAGCTGCATGCGCGGTATACACTCCTGGCCAATCAGAACGCAACAAAAAATTGAATACGAGTTTCACTCTAGGCAACCAATCATACTAGGAATATTCTAGCAATTACTTGTGGAATCAATAAAGCAAAACTTTTTCATCACTAGAGAACTTATAAACTTATAATAAATACATAAATGGTTTACAATATCCTATAAATAAATCTGGGTCCCAACAAGAAAATAAAAGCAAAGTTCAAATATAATGCTTTTAAAACTTCTATAAATATTGTACTAAACTAACGTAAGATCAATATCCTTCGAGTGCATAAACTATGAAAGCATTACTTTTAAATCCTAGTAGATCCAACTTCGCGGAACGAAATACATATTCCCGACACGTACAATCCTAGAATTCACGATTTTAAACCTCGGCAAACGTAAAGCTGTCGAAAGAGTGCCGGAAATGGAGAAACCTGGTTCGTTCACGTCGGATTAATCCAAATCACGCAATCAGATTAACTCTCAACTTTTTATCACCCATATGAATACTTGACGATTTCCGTTCTTAACATTTTTTCAACCATGAGTAACAAGACTTGCAGTAAATTAAAAATCGTATAGCAGTTTTACGCTTGAAATCAGAAACGAATAAATCTTCTAGTGTAGAGACGTCAATTGATGGTAAATCGATATCTTCGAGTAGGTTTAAGATAGTTAAAACAATGGCATCGGAAGTGAATTTGACAGGCGTTTGCAAGCACGATTTGCACGATTGCATTTCCGGAGCAATTGTGCTGCCATTCAATTATCCCTTGCTCAACCCACAGACGCCAAAGGCTAAATCAGCGAAAAATCGATCAAAGTAATTGAAATAAAAAAAAAGCCTTAAATAATATTAAAAGTTCTCATTTTTAATACTGTAAGACTCAGCATTCACAAGGAGATTTTATTTTAATTGACAGAAACTTCAAAATTAATAAAATGAGAGAATTAACCACACCAGAGAATAAGTTTGATAATGAGAATGTCTTATTGTCTTATTGTCTTATACCCTCAAAGAGAGAAGAACCTATAAAACTGCGACTATACTGCACGACTAAGCACTGTGGTCATTTCAAATTGTCCTTTTATACCTGCGGGCAACCCTAAAATTAGAGTGGGGTGCACAGGAGGAGTGGGGGTAGCGTTACTATCAGTTGGTTGGGCAGGTAAGGGATATGCTTGTACCTGAGATTGGTAGTGGGGATTTAAGTCCCTAAGCATGCAGATTATCCCTTATAAGTTGGCGTCTTTGACAAAGGGGCACCTCACCTTTTCCTTACAGGTAAAGTCGCAAGGGGTTACCTAGGAATTATCTGTCATAAGCATATTGCAAGAAACCTCATCAAATTTTGATTGTCATTCTGAATAAAGCAATAAAGAATCAGAAGATGAATATAATCAATTTTACGCGCTGCATTGATATCCAGTAAAGTTAATGAAAAAAAGTTATGAATCTTGGTGACGCCCCAGAAGTTAATATAAAAAACCCTATAGTGCATGAAGTTTATGACGATAGTCTAGTTATCCTATTCATGCACACAATGTCGACAGGAGTTTATGCCAGGGAGTATTGTTCGACTTAACTTTCAATGCACGTTCACAATGCCAGCCTAATCCCAACGATCGCTATTGGAAGGTGGTAACAATGTGAATGTTCACACTATTCACAGAAAATCCTGCCTTATTACATGTTGTAAGGTGTCAACTTTTGTTACAACCAGGTAATTTACCAAAAAATGCATTAATAAACCAAGTTTTAGATTGAGATAAAGATGCATTGCACGAAAAGATGTTTTCAACAATTCTAACTCTTTGGCTCCTTGCCAAAAGAGATAAAAATACGTTATCTCTGCGCATTGTACATCTTAACTTGCTGAACAATGTTGCTAAATGATTTACCATTTTAATGTCTCGCGTTTCATAAAGATCGCAACTGTAATGCTCCAAAAATAAAAGAAAAAAAAAACTATTCAACTGAATTGAATTCAATTGCACTTACATTTTCCTATACCCCTTTTCCACTCCACAAACACATCCGAGCAATAAAGTACTTTCCTATTGCTATAGCCGTCTGCAACGTATTGAATTGTGTTCCGTCCTTGAAATCCTCGGAGAACTACCGACTGAAGAATATCAGGCGTTGTTGCAGCCGAAACGACGAGGGCGATTGTGGTTGTGGTAATGGTCGTGGTGGTAGCAACTGTTACATTGCGTTCAGAGTTTTATCCCCGCGGATTCGCTCGTGAGGCTCGTGAGAGACGCCACGCGAAGCTGAAAGATTAAGCTGACAACACTACACTCCACCAACTCGAATGGCATACAACGACTCGGTATCCGAGCGGAAATGTCTATCGTCTATCGTTGCAAAATGGAAAAGTATTCTTGCGCACGTCGCTATCGCTTTATTCTTCGCCATTGCATTCTCACAATGGTGTATGTAGTGAATCGGAAAAAGTTATAAAAATAACATTGTTATTTTAGTCCTAGAAGTATGTTGTTGTTTTTATAGGTATATTAGTTACTGTTATTTAGAAACGTGGAAAATTCTAGGCATAAACTTACTTGATTTTCTTATGTTGATTCGTCTTTCAACAAAAAAGTTAGGTTACTAAACGTGCTCATAGTCTATACACATCGACACTCACGCCACGCATGCGCTTTACATGAATCTAAAAACAAATTCAAATTTAAGTTAAATATATAATGTTTTGATAATAATAGAATAATAGTTACTGTTTTCAGATACGTGAAAAAGACTATATATAAACTTACCTGCTTCTCTGTTGTTGATTCGCCGTTCAACAAAAAAGTTAGGTTACTGCATATGCAACACATTTATGCGCATCGACCCTAGCGCCACGAATGCACTTTTCACGAACCTTTACATTAAATCTAAAAACTGATTCAAAAGTTAGGTTAAATTTAAAATAATTATCCACTAAACAAATATTGGCAACAATTGGTTTAATTATCGTTACAATAAATGTAATTACTTCGTAAACATGACTTTCGAAAATATGTACAAACATTACAATTTAATATATTCATTTGTTTGCGTGTTCTTTACAGGATGATAATGTACAATGATAATTATACTCGAATAAATCATGAAACAATTACAAAAACCACTAAAACCGATCACAAAATTAGTAAAAACATCAACAATCATTGTCAAATCTAAGATAAATTAGCATTAAATATAAAATTAGGAATCTTTTTAGTGATATCCGAACATTTTTGTTAATAGTACAACACGCGTTGATAATATGCAAAAATCCGTAACAGCATTATTTATATATTCATAAACTTTTCTTACTTTACTTTTAATCATCGTTTAGAACCGCTATCTACGTTCATACGAATGTGATAATTCCTTAAAATAATCTCAGCAACTGTATCATCGTTATTTCATAGTTCATACTCCTACAATTCTTTCGTTTAGTTATGTAATCGTATTTCATCATTTAAATTAGGCGTATGCGATTAACTTGTGATTAGAAATTCAGCAATTTACAATTTGTCATTGTAAGCATTTTAGTTGTCATTTAAGAGAGTGATTCATGATTTGTTAATTTCATAGTTCGTATTTGGTAATTGGTAATTCGTAATTAATCGTTTATTAAGTATTAGAGTGTAAACTTGTAAATGTCTCATTGGTATTATTATTATTATTATTATTATGTAGTAATAGTAACAGTATCTAGTTAGTAATAGAAGCATCGATTACAATTGGAAGATGATTGCTCAAAGTTTCTATGATTAGTTCCGCAACGATTTTCAATGTTTATTTAGTTATTAATTATACCGATTTGTGAATTGTGATGAGTGCAATGTAATGATTTGTGATTGCAGGGAAGTTTATCGTATTTTTATATCTTAAGCATTTAATCTTGTGCTTTGTGCTGATAGTTAAAGATAAAAAACGTAAAACATCATTAAATTGGCACAGTTTAATCAAAATCAATCAAATAACTTAGTTGGTTGTTACTTATCCTGAGTAAAATCTTCATTTTTAAATCATCACAGTAAATAATGTGCTTTTGTGTTTGAAATGTTAAAAAATTAAAATTATTTACGTCAAAATCTTAAAATTTAAAGTGATTGTTAATCTAGTACAATTGCAGTTCGCGTTTGATGATTGCCTATCATTATTACATTTGTACAAGTATAAATGAACATGATATCAACTTAAATAAATAATTAACCTATAAATTACGCTATTTATTTAGTGTAGAAGAGTTGTAAAATCTAAAAGTTTGAAAATTCAATACTCTAGCTGAAGATTGAGGTTAAAATTTAGATTTCGCTCGAGTCGCGCGTAAATTTCGTTTTGTTAAGTTGAATTACCGAATATTTCAATGTGATTTTCAATGCCGAGAAGTTAGTTAATGAAGCCGTCAAACACCCGCTATACAAAGTGAGTGTCGTTCGAATCGTTAAGCTTAATAAGTTCATGTATCAGGACGGATTTGTGCCTACATATCGAAGAGACTACACAGCTAAGAATTCAATACTTTCAACATTCCGAATAATAATTAATCAACATTATCTGACAGGTAACTATATGAACATTAAATTTTCATGTCGAATAAAAGCGTTAAAGCCGATTTTACTGATATTACACTTTTGAAAGTCCTTTAATATTTAGTTTCATTAAACGTTTGGTTATGAAAGTGACATTTTGAGGTTAAAACCAAAATCAACATGTTCAAAATTAATATATTTTTGCTTTAACACTCTCTTTATTTGTATTTTTTGCAAGCAGTGTGTTTTGTTAATATAATTAATGACTTGTTAACTTGTAGTTTGCGTTCATAATTTGCCGTGACAAATTAATTTCCGAATTTCCGAAGGAAAACGCTCGATCAGGTCTCTGGGACAATGATTGATTGGTTTTAGAGGTTAAATGTTAGTACCATGGCTATTAATCATAAATTATCTAGATTTTAGTAAAAAAAATTGATTATTTTCATGTAAAAAACGTTAAAACAAAAAAAAACTGACGTTTTCATTTGGTAATTTATTTAAGACAATTCCAAACTCTCAAAACAATCCATGAGTATAATACAAAATGGCTGACAATAGAATTACAACTAAAAGGAACATAAGTCAAGGATAAAACTGTCAAATCATTGTCCCGGCGCCATTTTACTTTTACTTTATATTTACTTGCTTGTAGCGCCATTTGGACTCAAGCACTCGCGTTAATTTATAAATTATGTATCTCCTAGTATCCTATTTAAATATATTTGTCAAGAATCAATTTAACCTTTAATAGTGGTTTAGTATTTATTTGGTTGGTTGGTTTGTAGTCATCGCAAGATTTCTTGGTGAAATCTTGTCTCGTCGTTTAATCATTATCTATCATTATCTTTATCGTTATCATTATCACTCGTTTTCATCTAGTTGTGAATCTTGGGCGATCCGTTCGCGCATCTTTTCTATCTAAATTTGCTAAATATCCTAACCTAACTCTCAATGTATCATAACCTTAGTTTGACGCCATTAACATGATGCAATGCAGTATGCGCAAAATGGCGCGGCGTCATTATAATGAATTAATAAAATGAAATAGGAGTGTGACTTGCAGACGTTGCGAAAATGACGCAAATCTCACGAATCTTAGGAAAAAACTACGAATAAATAACAACGTTTTACAATTATAGGATTATTACAACGGGATTATTTCGTCGTGGTCGGTGTGGTCGACGTCGGCGTCGTCACTTTCGCTAGCAGTTTGTCTTTGGGCATGTGTAGTTTGAGCGGATTCTGCAGCTTGTAGAGGTCGCGCTCCAGCTGGCTGATCTGCTCCTTGAGCGTGTTGTATTTGGCGAGGTCCAGGCCGGCCTTCTTCGCCTTTTTGTGCATTGTCAACAATTGCTGTCGATCTTTAAAGTCTTGCAATACGTATTCCTGCAACAGATAATAATTTAAAGATTTAAAATGTGTATAAGTAAAAATAGGCTAAAAAAAATGAGTTTTGTTAGTTACACCATTTATAACTTAAGAACGGCTGGACAGATTTTAATTATTTCTAATTTTTTGGATTCGTCTACTCCCGGAATAATAGAATAAGTATTAAAATATCGGAAATTGTGATTAAAAACGTGATGAATCTATAATATAAAAATGAATCGCAAATTCTGTTGGTAAGCGCATAACTCAACAACGTGTTGACCAATTTGGCCAATTCTTTTTTTTAAATGTTCGTTAAAGTCCAAGGATTGTTTTTACGGTGAAAAAAATTCGAAAAATTGCCGGGAAAATCATAAAGCCAGCATTTTCTATAGGATAAAAGTGGGCATTGAGATTCAATCATAGTTATAGTTAAATAGTTGAATCCAAGATGGCGGGCTGAAGTGCATTATTAGCAATTCTTATATAATTAATTTATTTAAAATAAATTTGCAAATCTTATTGATGATATCGACAGATATTAGTAAAACTCAAATACATTTCCTACTAAAAACTGTGGAGACAAAGTCGCGAGCAAAAGTTAACATAATTTAAAAAAGAAACTTAATTACTAATGCAATTAGTATAAACTATAAACTAAAATGAAACACCCCCAATGCAATTTTGAATGTTAATTCATTTAATTCTTTAATTATCTTAATTTACGCCTACATTTCGTTTGTGCAAAGCTTGAAATTGAAATATTTTCTACTGGTTGTACAAATACGGCGGGCATGACTAGAACACGAGCATAACTAGTGCGTGGCGAAACGATTAGGTTAAATAATTCATTAATTAGCGCGCGTTTGTTTGATTTTACGCGGCGCGTCGTCTTTCCGCCTTACTGTCTTTCGACTTTGCGTTTCTTATGCACGTTTACTGCTAATGAGCGATTCGCATGTTTTATCGACGCACGCAAAGCTGACCGAAGCGTTTTGAGCGCAAACCCTAAATCTCGCTGTATTTATGTGCTTAGGCCATGCGTAAATACAGGCGTCCATTGTTCTAATCACATAATCAGTTGTAGGAAATCGAAAGCTCGCACCTTAAGCGCTTAAACTTTAAATTAAACTTTGGACACTAACTAAATATGAATAAACTTCTAAATACAGAGAAATAAACAAAGTTTTAGGAAATAATTAAATTTCTATATAAATTATTAATTTTACAGTTGTTTTATGGAAGTTTCCGCTTTTGCTTTTAAAACTTTTCCGCAGCCTCTCCTGCAACTTTCGTAACTTTCGACAATTCTTGTAAAACTTCGACGTTTATGGCGTGTTTAGCAATTGTTATTATTTTACACCTTGAAATTACACCGGAAGTTTTTAACTGTGTCATTTATATCAGATAGCACGTACGCCGGTAGTCCGGTAGCCCAGAAGCGACCATTTTGACACTTTCCACTGCTTCCGCTTCCTTTTTGTGTATGCATCTCATCCTCACGAATGTAGGACACAAGTTTTAATCCCCCAGCTGAACCCGAATAATAAAGTGTTCCGACCGAAATGCAATATCACAACTAGTAACGCTTGCAAATATCAACAAATGCGAACGTGCCGGCGTGCACGGCGAAAAGTCGAAGCAAGTTAAAATAAACCACAAGTAAGCTAACACAGCGCCAAGGCTTTGCAATTGTTTAACTTTAGTTTTCATAAAATGGAAAATTTAAATCGGATTAGTTTACATCGGTTACGAAATTATTTTACAAACAACAATATCAAATCAGATATTAACCAGAATATAGGCAACCAAATATGCATTTGTATACTATAATAGTCTAGTTTTAGGTGATATTTCGAATAAAATTGTTTAAGACTTGTTTTTTATTGCTTACCTGTTTAGTGACTAGAAAGTAGGCGTATCCCACCATGGCGGTGCCGTAGGTAACAAAATAGGTCACCGGCTCCATAATGTCCCAGGAGTATTCCCACCACGTGAGCCTCGCGAGAATGCCAAACTGCACAGACATCAACCCCATGCCGATCCATGACACCCACTCCGACTTTCGTTGCGCTATCATGTCAAGGCGAGCTTTCTCCTGAAAGAGAAAAACACAAATAATCAAATATACATTCGCTACAGACTAAAAAGATAGGTTAGAATAAAAATGGTCGAAAGTGGATAAAAACTAGATACTGAAATATTGTAAAATAAAATCAAGTGCATAAAAAACACAAAAGCCAATCTCTAAAAACAAATATGAAAAATGTCAAGCTAAGCTTTCGGTAGTTAAATGCGCAAAACGGAAATTGTGATTTAATGGGCGCGTATATTGGGATTTAATGAAAAATCGAAACGAATCAGCGCCGGTTCCAATTGAAATTGCGTTTACTGTCGGTGTCAGGTGTAATTTTACCGTTTTTCCGTCACACGCAAAGTAAATTAAAACAAACCGGAATAAAAATGAATAAAAATGTAAATTTGCACAGTATGTTGACAACCAGTCGAGGGCAAAACCAATTTTTCCTGTCTGTCATTGATGAAATTCCTGATCTATTATATCCTTTACCCTTTCGCATGTAAAGCTTTTTCTGTACACGTTTATTTTGTTCCTGTTGGCCTGCACTTAACCGCCTCTCAATCTGCACGTCGTGCATTTTTAACATACCAATCGATTTATTCCTCCTCTAACATGCCATCCAATTCCGGTATGTGTTAGTATGTAACCTGTTTTTAAGTTGTTAAGCTTGGCTTGCAGAACGTTTAAAATTTTAAGCTTTTCCAACTTCATTTATCTTGATCGCGTATAGTTTTATGTACGCATAAAAATTGAGAAGACGAGAATTTTAGAGTGGAGATTGTGACGTACAGCAGTGAATATATACGACGGCAGCGTCAGCAAGGTGAAAAGTTAAAATTTAATCGGTAGTCGGGAAACGTACACGCAGATGAGTTAATTTTATAGTTTGGGGAATTGCGAGCAGGAGCTGAATATGTTAGAAGTCTTAAAAGTTTCAAAAGTTTGGATCTACAACTTTATAGAGGGTGTTTAAATTTAAAAATCTTAAATATAAGCATGAAATAACCTCCAAAGCTAGGCAACCAGTTATACACCTATATTTAAGACTTGAATAATATAATAATTTAAACACCTATTCGAATGAAATTACCCTGAAGTTATCACCAAAACAGTTTTGTTCGGAAAATGTGAAAATCTGCAAAGTAGTCCAATATAGTTCAAAGTCTTAACTGTCGTTTGGAAAGGAGCCAAATTACAGATTTCCTTCCGCTTTCAACCTTCATCCATTCACTAAACTTGCTTTTGCTCTACTTTCCGACAATCCCAAAATCTAGATCAAATCTGCCACACGAAATGCGCCACGTGCAAATGGTCTACCCTTATCTAAACCGACGAGTGTTATGATAAGTTCCAAGAACTAACCTCAAAAACAAATAACAAACAATAAAACACACAGATGCAAACAATATTTAGAAAAGAACATCGAATAAGAAACTTGAAGCTTGAATGAACACAGTACGAACATGAAAAATGTAAAATTCAATAAATTTAACTCCAGACGAAAGAAAAACAGTGCAAAACTTAATAAACAAACATAAAATAGATAACAACAAAATAGAGATTAACAACAGAAGGAACACTTACGCCCTGTTTTTGTTTCGTTTCGTGTTATTTAGAGGAACAACAACGCACAGTGAGTGAGGCACACATTTGCAGCGTGAAAAAAAGAAGCGCACACAAAAATCAAAATCAATTAAATAAACTATTGCCGATATTTAGATTTTAACTATGACTTTTACCTTTGATGAATGTAACAATTTAATTTTATATTAAATAAAAGTAATGTGATTGAAACTATATTGAAATTCATGTGTAGACAAATTAAAATGTTTTCTTTTTGTGTTAAGAGAGTACGAGTAAGTAGATGCTTAATACTTTTATGACTTACTTCTTCCAAAGGCATCAGTTCTTGGCGTAGCGATTCTATTGTCGCCGTGATGGTCTTTTCCGTGTGAATGTTGTGTTCTTGCACGTTTAATGCTTCGTAGAGTTGGCTAATCAGTGTTTTAATATCACTCAATCTGCAAAATACAAGAGTTTAATAGAATATTATATTTTATTAATGATTAAAATGTAATTTTGAATTAATTGTGAACTAAATTCAAATTTATATTTTACACTAGGCTTTTGCCTGCGACTTCGTTCCGGTAGTGTTTAATAAAAATGTAATTCGTGTTTACTCTCTTGTTCTAGACATAGTATGTGTCAATTCTATCAATAAGATTCGCAATTTTATTTTAAAGACATTAATTATATAAAGAATTGCTTATAATGTACTTCAGCGTGCCCTCTCGGATTCAACTATTTAACTATAACTATGATTGAATCTCAATGACAACTTTTATCCTTTAGAAATGGGCTTTCTTTAGGGTTTTCCCGGCAATTATTCGAATTTTTCTCGCCGTAAAAACCATCCTTGGACTTTAACGAACATTAAAAAAAAGAATTGACCAAATTGGTCGAGGCCTTGTTGAGTTATGCGCTTACTAACAGATTTTGCGATTCATTTTTATATTATAAATTTCCCCGGAAAGGAATATTAATGTTAGTTACCTTTGTGCTTCCTCGCCAGTAATACGCGTCTGTTTAGGAGTGCGCACCGTATAGCAGTGGTCGTTGACGATGAGTTTAAAGTCCTCCTCCAAAAGATTCTCTATCGTATTGGAGGCGCCTATCCGCGTATCATCCATGCTGGTGGCCACGACGCGATCGATGCCCTTGTCCTCGTTCTTCAGCATGGCGATAAGGTCGCCGACGTTGTTCGTGATCGGCTTCAGCGTGAACTTGCAGCGTTCGCGTCGCGACGGCAACGGCACCGTCACCACAGGCAGTCCCCGGCAATACTCCACCGTCACTTCTGCAACAAGAAAAACAACAATAATAGAAATTCAATCATTCACATGAATAACACTCGTACACAGTGGTTAATATATGATTAGACTAATTAATTAGTTGAGAGTCGCGTTTCAATAACGAGCCTTGAATCATGAATTATTCCATTTTGACACACTTGTCTGCTTATCCGTTCTCTGCTTCTGTTTTTGTTTCGTTCTGTTTTAATATTTTTCTTTTACATATTTTATTGTATATTAATTTAATAAACGTCAATATGATTTCGATATACAATGTGTATCAATGCATAAATATGATATTTTTACTGTTTAAATTATTAATGTTTAATGAAAACATTGTGTAGGTTTTAAAATATTCATGTGCGTGTATAATGTGCATTATGAGCATAGCCATGCGCGTTGTGGACACACTCTACTTAATCTCTTCCACATATTCACGCGCACGGCGATTTATAATTGTCGTTATTATAAAATTATATATTAAAACATTGTATGTTTGATAAATAAAGATAATAAAGAAATTAATATTGACGAAAATTTTGATTTCAATTTTTTTTTTAATTTTTTTGTTTAGTTTATATTTACTACTTGATTTTGCTCGCGACTTCATCTCGGTAGTGGTTAATAAAAATGTAATTCGTTTTTACCCTCTTGTTCTAGACATAGTATGTGTGAATTCTACCAATAAGATTCGCAATTTTATTTTAAAGAAATTAATTATATAAAGAATTGCTACTAATGCACTCCAGCGCGCCATCTCGGATTCAACTATTTAACTATAACTATGATTGAATGTCAAAGCCAACTTTTATTGTACAGAAAAAGGCTGTCTTTAGGGTTTTCTCGGCAATTATTCGAATTTTTCTCGCCGTAAAAACCATCCTTGGACTTTAACGAACATTTAAAAAAAAGAATTGACCAAATTGGTCTAGGCGTTGTTGAGCTATACGCTTACCAACAGATTTTGTGATTCATTTTTATTTTATAGATTTTCTTAAAAAAATTATATAAATTCAACTAAGAATTTAACCCGCAGAAATAAATCAATAAGTTAAATGAAAATGACAATAGTGTTATAAAATAACCGTGCAATTCCGTGTTCAACAAACGGAAATAACTTTAGCGTCAGCCAATATCCTTTATTCCGAGCAATTCGCCAAATCATGAACATGCAACAGCGCCACTTTGCCGCAACACCTCCTTGGCACACTTCGTGTCCTCCGTGTCCACGTGTTTCACTCTTCGTGTCCTCCGTATGCATATTCAGCATGCACAATGTGCACTATTCAGGAAGCGTACAATACACGTCGCATTAAAACAGCTTTATTAACCCACCCTGCGTAATACTAAAACACAATGGAATCGCCTTTATTTCGCTATTGTAAGTACGAACGTATTGTAAGTAGGTATATCGACATGTAATTACGGTTCCGCATTTATGTAGAGAGAGATATTGGAAAACAATTATTAACAGAATGACCTGGCTTAGGTAGGTACAATGCAATATTATCAAATGGGCGTAATAACTACCTGTTAGTCGTGCTGAAAGTTGATTGACATTGGGCCAACAACGGAAATTATTTCATCATGACTAAAATGCATCGCTTTATTTTCCATCGATTAGGTTAAAGGTAAATTAGTTAACTACATATTACAATAGCACTTTATATTTTTATATAGCTTATGTCAGTAATTTTGTACTTTTTTTTTTAAACTAATTAATATTGTTTTTTTTTTGTTTCTTGAACGTGGTAGGTGTCAATTTTATCAATAAAATGGGCAATTATAATTTAAAAAAAGAGAACAGCTAGTAATGAACATTAGCGCCATCTAGGACTCAAATATTTAACTAGAACTATGAGCAAATCTATATAACAATGTTAATCTCTTGCCCCATAAAAGTAGGAACAGGGGTAAGACAAGGCGATTCCCTAAGCCCCCTGCTATTCAACTTCATCATGGAAGAGATAATTGCAAGAGTCCGACGCTGTAAAGGATACCAGATGGGGGGGAAAGAGCTGAAAGTTGTGTGCTACGCGGACGATGCCGTGCTAATTTCCGATAGCGAAGACAACCTACAACGCATGATTCACCAGTTTAACATTGCCAGCAAAGCCCTCAACATGGAGATAGCAACAGAAAAAACCAAATGCATGGTCATCGCACCACATCCAATAAGATGCAAACTTGAAGTCGATGGACAAATCGTACAACAAGTGAGCGAGTTCCGATATCTTGGTATAAACATATCCAGCAGTGGAGGAGTGGAAAAAGAAGTAGCAGAGCAAGTTGAAAAGGGCCTGAGAATAGCAGGATGCCTAAGGAACACGATTTGGGACAACAAACATCTAAGAACAGAGACGAAAGTTTCCATCTACAAGGCAGTAGTCAGGCCCATATTTACATACTCGGCAGAAACGCGTGCAGAGACGACAACCACACAGAAATCTCTTGTTTTAAACCCTTTCAATCACAATTTTCAATGGTTTAATATTTATTCTGCTATTCGAAACATAAACGAATGTAACAAATGATAGATCATCAAAATCTGTCCAGCTGTTCTTGAGTTATAACTGATGTAACTAACACAATCTTCTTTTATATACAGATTACTAAACTTTATATTCCAATAACACTTTTTATTTTTATTGTGATAAAAATAAGATGATTATCTATGATGGAAAGCTCATATTTATAAATATATAAAATTATACCCGAAAGTATTAAATTTAAATTGGTTTGACTCCGAACCGAAATAGAAACTTCACATTCAATTTATAAATCACTGCCATATGTTTACTGAAAGTAAGATACGAATCAAAAACCATTGTTGGAGCAATTCTAACTTTAAAAATCAATATTTTATTCTCTCATTGTTATACAATCAAAAATAAAATACGCTTTTTTAATGTGGCAGCGCCATTAAAACTTGAAAAATAAAAAAGTTTCTGGCGAAAAGTTCAGTTCATGAAAATATATATTATCTAAATGTTATCCTAAATCAAATATTGTCCTACTTTTTGACATCTCAACATTCTGCGCAAACCCGCATTCTCCATCGAATGACTAATACATATTTAGAACTTCACCCTTCAGGATTTTCCGCATTGGCTGCAACCTTGACCCAATATCAAAAATAATCGAAAATCGAATCAGAATCGTAGGTATCCAAAATATTCATATGCACAACTAAAATAATTTATGATACAAGAAAGTTATGTTAATAATTTTTATCAAGATTTTAAAATCAAAATTTTAATTTTTAATTTAATTTAAATTGTTTGTGTTAATTTTTCCTTGGGTAATTATTCCATATATGGTTTTATATACTCGTACTCGTATGTTTAACGCCTTACTTACTTCGAAATAATTTACGAGTAAAAGTAATGCGTGCCACATGTTTATAATCACTTTAAACTGAAATATCGACTTAAACAAAGCATACAAAGCCTCCAAAATATAAATTACTTATTACTTTGATTATAATAAGAATAATAATAGTCCAAATAACCGTCATACTCTTATTATCGTTGAGTCTCGTTAATTTTCACCTATTTAGCCAGAACACAACAACACTTGGCGCGGCAAACCGACCGAAAAAACGCGACTTCGACTTCGACTTCAAAACGCGCCTGCACCAAAAAACACAGCGGCCTAATGTGTTCCTAATTGCAGTCGAGTTGAACTCGTAAAGTTCGCATAGCATTCGGAGAGCAAAAAAAAAGTAGAAACAAAGTGAGGGAAATATGAAAAGTTACATGTGCAGTTTAATTTTAATTTTAACGCTCGGATATGTCGAGGATTTGCATTTTCATTTGCATTTGCGATCATCAGCATAACTGTTATAAAGTGGAAACTATTTAGCATAAAAAGTTGGTTGGTAGATTAATAATAAATACATAATTGAAAATATAAATATATCTATGATATAAAAATGAATCGTAAAATCTGTTGGTAAGCGCATAACTCAATAACGCATTGAACAATTTGGCCAATTCTTTTTTTTAAATGTTCGTTGAAGTCCAAGGAAGGTTTTTACGGCGAGAAAAATTCAAATAATTGTTGGGAAAACCCTAAAACCCTATCTATAGGATAAAAGTTGGCATTGAGATTCAATTATAGTTATAGTTAAATAGTTGAATCCGAGATGGCGCGCTGAAGTGCATTATAAGCAATTCTTTATATAATTAATTTCTTTAAAATAAAATTGCGAATCTTATTGATAGAATTGACACATACTATGTCTAGAACAAGAGAGTAAAAACGAATTACATTTTTATTAAACACTACCGGAACTAAGTCGTGGACAAAAGCGAGTTTATAATAAGTAATATTGATTCTTTCTTTTTTCTGATTCTTTACAAACAACTTTAAATTGACAACATCCAACACATCCAACACTCGACCGTCTACACTTTTCTTCTCCTTTGTGTCTCTTTTCTTTTCGTTTTCCATCCACTTTGCCATAATTCAATTCCAGCTCTCCATAAGCGTGAAGATTTCATCATGACCTCGCCTTCTTCGTTTTCGCCAAACGTGGAAATCCTTCGCAGACCTCTTTATAGTCAAAACGGTCAGAGTAATGTTTGCCACGCAAGCAAAAGCCGCATACATGCACGTGAATGTCACATATTTGTGCGCACGGCGCGTGAGTGTTGGTGGGCAGCGTTTTGCACATTTTGCAAAGAGCTCCAAGCTCAAGTTGCATACTTTGGACACTCCTATTGAGAAAATCGCATTCAATGTGTTTGCTTGTGTAATATTTCCAGCGTTATCTATATTTTCAATATAATATTGACGAGATGAAAATTCCATGCGAAAAGCGACATATTGCGCTGAAAGCGGTGATAACACGTGCGGAAATGTCATAGTGGATTTGTGTTTGGAAAATGGGAAAATGCCTAAATTTCTTTTGCAGATTTTTCGCCAAAATACGCATAAAAACAACCTCATTCCTATCCATTTTAAACTCTAAACTATTGACCACCAGATGGCGTTAGATGTT